ATGAATCAATTGAATCAAAACCCCCAATGTTAAAGTATGCAACCGTGTTTAAACGGAGGATTGTGAGGTGCGCGTATGCCCTTCCTCACTCCTAATCGAACCCCCGAATCCCAATCTCTGCGCAGACTCGTTTTAGGTGACTTGTTTCACCTTATAATTTGGACGAGTGGCGACTCCCTTTTTCTTATATATTTCACACTTAATTTTTTCATTTATTTTAAAAAAAATCTTAAGTGGTCGTCAACAGTTTGGCGACTCCACTGGGGACAGAACCCAGAATCTCTGGTTTTCATATTCTCGGTTCACGAGGGTCAAGCTAATACTTTAATTTTGGGGCATTTTCAACCTTTGATTTTTTCTGTGTTTGTTGAGTCTTTGTGGGTCTTTGTTATTTATTGCATGTGCTTATCATGTGTTGCTTGTTGTTTGTTTGCTCAAAGTTTTAGTGGTTGCTTTGATTGTTTTGCCTTTGAGTGGTTATCTTGCTACATCTTGACATGCATCATACCTTGCTCACATGTTCATGCATCATATCATCTCACAAACTCATCCATCATTAATATTATATGCTTATTCATCATGCATCATGCTTACATGCGTACTTGCTTGTGTGTGGATATACTCACCTTTTACACTTGGCTATGAAGTACTCAGTGAGTCTTTTCCCTCTTGTGCGATTATTTATATCTTGTTGCATGCTAAGTGTTGGTTGCTTTGTGTTACTAACCTTTTGCATTTGGCATGGGAGTACGAGGTGAGTCCCTTCTTGTTGTGTAAGTAGGTTTGTTTGTGGATGATATATTTGTTGAGTGTTTTATATGCTTTATTTGATTGTTGTGGGATATATGTTGCTTTTTTGTGGTTGCCATTGTGCAGGTTATTGGAGTGTCATGCCCCTTTGCACACACTCACTCTCATTTTGCATTAGGTCCGTGTCGAAGGTGAACCCGACCTCTAGTCTGGAATCCTTATGAATCTAGCTTGGAAGAGCAATTCTTCCCGCTTTGAGGAGTAAGATTGATTCCCGTTAGATTGTTTCCATTGGTTAATACGACACTTGATGATGTAATATCATTCTGTGTATTAGCTTTTGGAAATATCTCCTGTTGATTCCGAAAGGATAAATGGTTGAGAAGGCCTAATGCCCTTTAGGAAACATATAGTGGCCTTAGAGAGATACCAACCCTAAAACATGTTTCCCTTAGCATCCCACCTGTGAGGTTAGGAATCCCGTGTCTAAGACACAAAGGGGCATTTTTCTTCACTAACCTTGTCTTCGCACATGACAGGTTTTGTTCTTATATGCATCTGAGGTATGATTAGTTATTCATCTTCTGCATTTAGACATCATTCTTGAGGTAAGGAGCATTCCATGCACTTTGTATATTCACTTTCAACCCCATGCATCAAAAAAAAAAGAAAAAAAATCATGATTGTTTTGCATGTCATATATTCATCCTATTCGTTACACATTAAATCCTCCATATGTCTTGCAAATTTCACATGTCATATGTCCATTGTATCGCATTTTCCATCTCATGCATTGCAAAATATAGTTTCATGTTCATCTCATGTGACACTCTCCATTTTGTTCATTTTAAATTTCATTTTTCATCTCATGTTTCACAAAAAAAAAATTGCAAAAAAAAAAAA